TTGCTTACTTAAATACTACGAATACAAAATCTAATACCCATTTAAGTTGATCAGAATAAATCATTTGTAAATTGTTATAAATTAAGAAATACTCATAATTATCACTGTCTTTCTTTGTGCTAATATAAAGGCAATGCTATTATTTTTGTTCCAACAAATTCAAACAATCCCTCTTAAAAAATTAAAAATTACTAGCCAAGAGCGTATAAAATTTACCTATGAATTTCTGTACGATACTATTTGTTTCTCATTTTTGTCTAGAGCTTATATAAGGTTCGAAATGCACGAGAATGAAAAAAAAAATATTGGCGGACTCGCGGTTATTTATCTCGACAAATTATAAAATAATTATCATCAAACAATAAACAAAACCACCTAACCTTAAATCGTCTTAACTCATTTGTAGAACTTGTCAACGATACGTTCGATAACAACAAACCGGTGGGCTTATTTGATTGGTTCGAATCGCCGCAATCGATAGAAGTGACAGGACAGTATACCTACGCGCTTGTAACATTTTCCATGTTTAAATTAAAGTTCAGAACTTTGACTCGTTGCACAATATATTAATAAATTATTTGCCGTTAACAAGCTATTTATAGTGTACTGCAAAGAGAATGAGTTCGAAATGGTCTTCAAACATGGTGAAAATCTTCAAACAGTGCTTGGGCAATGTGAAGTGCGTGTAAGAGATGGCGCTGTGACAATAGCGCCTTTTGTTAGATTTTTCCTCAAAAACACCAGTTTAAAATTTAAAAAGTTGAACGAATCGGAAAGAGTACGACACACAACATTTAGCTGTAATAATATTCTCGATTTGCGATTTTCAAAATGAAGCCTCTGCCTAATTTTCGCCAATTGAGTGAACATCGCGATCGGATAAGAGATAAATGAGAACAATGCATAATGGAATTTCCAAACTCACGCTCAAATTTTCCAACTTAATTCCTTTGCAGCACAGTTGTGGCTGACGTGCGCGGGTTTCCCACATGTTTTAGCCACTGTTGTCAATTTGGGCACTAAGTCATTAACCGTGCGGAATTTCAGCGGCAGCAAATGAGGGTAAAGTCCCCAATTAGGAGCTTCGGAAAGCCCCCGCTTTGAGACTATGGCGTTTCAGTCTCAGCCATTGAATTGTTGTTCTGAACTGTTTAAATAATGAAGTAAATACTCAAAGTCGGTCACGAGCTCAGAAATTCTTAAGTCATTAGTTGAGTGTATAAATAGGAAAAAGTAACAAAATTTGGGGCTACTTGAGTGGCGGGGAGCGCAAATAAACACTTGGATTATAAGTGTCTTGAATGCGGACACGCATTTTTTACTTTACACATTCCTGTGCAGTAAATAAACCACTCGAAACTATGAGAATGGGCCACAACACTCAAATTTCGTTGAAAAACAATAAATAAACCACTTGAGGGTCGGGGTGTTTTAACCGCTGGACAGGCAGGGAAAGCGACCGCATTAGCTGTTCGATTGCGCTAGTAACCGGTTGAATTTTCCGCAGAAAATGCGCTTGTTAATCTCCTGCCTCCTCCTGGGGCTGGCCAATGCCGGGGAATATTCAGAACGATTTCTCACCCTCTACAATCAAATCGTCGACTCGAACAACGGCTACTACTCAAGCCATGGGGTGCCGTACCACAGTCTGGAGAACATGCTGGTAGAAACTGTGGATCACGGCCATGAAACCGACTCGGAAGCCATCAGGTGATTTTCTCGAACTTTCCAGAACAACTTTTGTTTCGCTCAAAGATTAATCGGCTACTTTTCAGCTACAACATCTGGCTGCACGCCATGTACGGGGCGATCGCCGACGATTTTGCCCCTTTCAACAACGCCTGGTCGGTCATCGAGAACTATCTCATCCCTCAGGCGCAATACAACATGGACAAGTGAGTTTTTCGCCATTTTGACGGTTAATTTGAGGTTATGTCAAAAAGTGTTAGGTACAAAAGTTTCAGATTTTTGTCTTATGCGCAACTCGGCCACTGAAAGTTGTCCGGCTGGAGGCCACGTTTTGCCGCAAATATTGCATTAATTGGTTCTTTAAGTTGGAAAAAAATATATGCGCCTTGGGTTTATACCGAAGGATGACTGAAAAGCACTGATTACAGAGGTTATAGATTGGAAACTGCCATATACG